TAGAGATTTTAAAGATATTTGAAATTCACTGTACAGAACAGAGGCACTAAAATTAGGTAATGTCTTACCTGTATCAGCATATGCATATTTGACTTTATTTATGAGCTTTGGCATATTTTGCTACTTTATATGCAACACAAGGTTGGGTGTCTAAAACTTAAGGTCCCAAATAGGTTTGTGTTTATTTCTCATGCCTATTTTAGAATCTTCAGTGGAGCCACATTGCTTCTCCACAGTAGAACTTTTAGAATCATAGAATAATAGAATAGTTTGGGTTGGAAGGAAACTTTAAAGGTCATCTAGTCCAGCCCCCCTGCAATGAGCAGGGACATCTACAACTAGATCAGGTTGCTCAGAGCCCCATCCAGCCTGGCCTTGAATGTTTCCAAGGATGGGGCATCTACCACCTCTTTGGGCAACCTGTTCCACTGTTTCACCACCGTCATTGTAAAAAATTTTTCCTTATATCTAGCCTAAATCTACCCTATTTTAGTTTAAAACCATTGCCCCTTGTCCTATTGCAACAGGACCTACTAAAAAGTTTGTCCCCATCTTTCTTATAAGCCCCCTTTAAGTACTGAAAGGCTGTACTGAAATTTAGTCCATTACCAACGCATCTAGAAAATATATATTTACCATATAGAGTGTAAAGTCTATAAACCAGTAATATTTCTTATCTCTTGTTATTTGTCTACTGCTTAAAAGATGCTTATAGCTTCCAAGAAAAATCTGTCTATAATCGTATTAGTTACCTTCTAACTCTATATTTACATCACCAGAGGTCTACTAATGTGATCTCTGCTGTCAGTGTCCTTCTCTTTACACTGAACACAGTCTCTAAGAGGAAATCCACCCCACGAAGCTGAAGACTGCTGTCTCCATCTTCATTGGGAGAGGGAAACCACGGAAGTGCCCATGCCATTTCACTACTGCAGACCCCTCCCCAGCTTCTGTGGCTGTTTGGGCTTGGTCCTTTGCTGCCCTCCTTTCCCAGGTGCAGACTGCAAGGCTCACCAAAGCTCCTCTTGTCATGCATGACCAGAGTGAGAGTAAAGCTGAGTTTTTGAGAGCACTTAAATGAATACAGAGGATCACAGCAAAACTCTGGACATGCAGCCGGGAAAAGATTTAAACTGCTTCAGCCCATGTCTGCAAGCAAAGGGACAGGGATGGTGGCTGGAAGGGAGCCATGATTCTGATAACTGCTGATTCAAGAGCACTTCATGTGTTTAACAGTTCACACCAGGAAGGCTGACTACGCTCCTCACAGTAATGAAATCTGAGACTGACAGATTTTTGTCAGGTTCCATAGGGAAACAAGGCCAATTGCAAATTGCCGGAGGCTTCACAAGTATCCTGGGAAAATGTCACTAAATGCTTTTTCTATTCTTACCTTCTTCCCCAGGCACCTGATGTTGGCACCAGTTGGAGGGAGGACACTGGATTAATTGGGTGGCTGATTTGATTGGAGTTAGCTGTTCTTGTGAGATGATCATGTTGTGCCTTGTACCCTGATTAGTGATTGAACTCATTGGCTGACTTGCTCTGGTTTTGATGGAGGGGTCTCAAGGTGTGTTTCGTGCCATGTTTCATTCAGAACTAAAAGAAGAATTCTGAGGGTAAAGATGGTTATGTGATCAAAAGTCAACCAAGCTCACACAGGGCACTGGCACACACCAAGCAGGCATTTGCACACAGATGTCAGACTTCCAAGAACAGTGAAAGACCCTCAGCCATCACCAGGATCCTGCTCGCCATTTTGCCTGTGCTAGAGATCAGAGCTGACTGAGTCAAAAATGCCATTTGACACCCATGTCCTACCTCCTGCCTGCGGAGCTGGGGGCACCCCTGGCCTGGGCACCTTCCCTCTTTCTGACACACAGGAGGGGCCATGGTTATGGATGCAAACCTCTGCCCCTGCGGCCAACACTGGCAGCAAGAGCAAAACCAGGGAATCTGACTCATGCCTCTTCCAGGCACTCTGCCATGGGGCTGTTTCTCATCTAACATGGAAACAGCCCATGGTTTTGGGGAAAGTAAGGAGAAGCTGCGATGGGGAAAGGAAATAGGAGCACCAGAGAGCAGGAGGCATCTATCTCATGCAGAGGCAGCGTAGGGAGGGGGATCCTGATAAAATGAGTATAGAGAGATGGGGATTAGTGAGGTTAGGGAACAGACATCACCCATTTTTCTTCAGCACAGGCAGACCTTGGACACCCCCACCCTCACCACTCACCAGTTCCACTCCAGACCTTCCCTCCCAGCATTTCCCCAAGCACCAGTGGCCTGTCCCAGCCCCTTTCCCCTGCTCTGATGTGACAGGGCCAAAGTGATACATCGCCCCCCCAAACCTTCCCTCCTTCTCTGCTATGCCACAAAATTGAATTTCACCTATACTGCCAAACAGGCTTAAACTGCTGCTGCTAACAAGACAGTAACCCATCAGAAAGCAAGCCTGTCTTCTGCTGCTCATAAAGCCAGATATTCAGCAGACAGCAGGAACACAAGCCATGAAAAACTTTTTGACTTATTCAGTCCTCCTGAGTCAGCCTTACAGTTGTGAAGGGCTACGTCCATATGAAGGTACCCAACTCCAAATGCAACATAAAATCCAGAGGCAGACTGCTGTGAAACCTTGATAAGGAAATTAAAATTTGCCTTAAAAGTAAGGCACCGAATGCACACCACTGAGTACCAAGATAGTCTAGCAGCACTGGCGCTAAGAAAGGTTAAAAATACCCAAAAGACTGTGCACTCAGACCATCCTCAAGGAAGGTTGTAAGAGATGCAGTATCATTTGTATGTGGGTAATTTCCCATTCCACAGTCCCATCCTGTGAGACAGTAAGGTACTGGAGATTTGCTGTCAACTGAAGATTAGCTGGATGCATCTGGGTTCTGGAAGACAGCTCTCATGCTGGTGAAGAGAAAAGTCTGGTTTAAATAAATGATCACCAGTATCTCCGTTTGTGCTAACACACAAGATAAGAGTTTAGCTTTAATTTCAGGCAACAACAATGATGGATACTAGTACCTGCACCGAGCGCATGAATAGAGGAATAAAAATACATATAAAGGGCCACAGATGTATACCTGTCAAACACTCAAATGACTAATACAAGAAGAACCACAAAAAAGAATTAAGCATGCAGTAGACATTGGCATGGGGTGGGAGGACATCTGATTCTTCTCAAACAATCACAAAAGAAAATTATTTAAGAGCCAAAAATATGGAATGGGGGACTAGGATTCAATTGCAAAGGCACTGAAGACAGCAGGTTTTGAATACAGCCTTTAGTTAGAGTTTAAGAAATCAAAGTTACTGTATTATTAATATGCCTTAAACAGCAGGTAAACTAGCAATTTTTTCGTCTACAGGCATCTGGTGTTCTTCACAAAATAACACTCTGTTTTGACATCCCCGTTGCTTGGCACAGGCTGTCTGTCAAGAAGAGGAACTGACAACAGAGGGATCCTGGTGTGTCTTTCACAGCTGTTGCTGTGTAGACCTTAAAAAAAAATAAAAATGAAGCAATAGATAAGTTTTATCTTCATGGATGTTGGCACCTTTGTTGTGGCACCTACGTGGGCTGTGGTTAGCACCACCCTCCAGCTCTGCTCTGATGAGGAGGCTGTGTTTCCAGGGTACGAATAACTCAAGCTAAGGTAACCCTGAGAAACATCCACATCTGCTCCATGAATATCGTGGACCTAAAATGTAAAAACTGTCAGGGGTCTATCTTTTTACAGCAGTCGAAGAGGAGGGCAGAACCTTAAGCCCTTTATCTCTGTGCACATGCTTTGCAGAGAATGAAACCCAGAAGTAGTGCACGGAGCAGGGACCACATATCCTAACTGCTTCCCCACACTAAAAGAGTATTTTAAATACTAGGATGCATAGATGCATAAATTTTTCATCTCCTCCAACAAACTGGTATGTCAAGAGAGCTGGGCTTTACAAGAATGTCCTGGTAGTCTCCAGCAAGTGCAACCTGCATGTTTGGACCCTCTTGGGATCAGAAGGTCCCTCAAATTGGATGGTCATATTACCTGAGCACTTAAAGCACAGCAAAGAGATTGTACCATCACCACTGCCTCTGTGAGTCCTGCCCAGCTCTTCAAAAGCAAAATTGTAACTCTCTGCTCCCAGGAATGAACTCAGGATGCTATGTGAAATAAATATGTCTTTTGTAAAAAACAATATTTTATTTATTTATTTGTTTCTTCTTTTGTTTGTTTAAAATCAATTTGCAGAAAGTGGTAGGTTTCCCTAGAAACCTCTGAGCTGGATGAAACTGGATTCTCTATAAACAGACTGTTTCATCTGAAAATGCTAATTTACCTTCCATCTAAAGGCACATTATCAAGGACTGTTATGGAACCAGAATTGTCTCGACATTGCCGTTATACCTCCATCTTCTGGCTTCAACATCCAGCCCCCGACGACACCGCCACAGGACGCCCGCGCAGAGACCAGGGCGCAAAAGGCGGAAGCACAAACTGCACGTACGCAGACACGTTCTGCGCATGTGCATGGCCCTATAAAAAGACCACGTGCGCCTTTTGGGGGGACTTCTCCTCCTACCTCGTGCACCCCTGGGAACCTGCTCCTGCAGACACTTCGACACCCGGACACAGAGGCTGGACCGGCTGGACATAGAAATCCCATCGACGGGATAACACTGGACTCGGAGTGGTGGTAGCTAGTTCCCCCACGTGGCCCTCTTCTCACCTGCCTGAGCCCACTCTTTCACCCTCTCTCTTGCTCTTTTTCCCTCTCTCTCTCTTTCCCCCCCCGGCTCCCTACCCGGTCCTCACCCCTTTGTTCACCGAAATAAAGTCAAAGGGTTGTACGGCATTTGACCTTGTTTGCGTCTTAATCTCGTCCTTGGGATCATATCAAAACCTCCCCCGACATTGGATCAGGACATTTAATTGGTGTCATGGACAGGATCCCCTGAGACGAGAGTGCCATACTACCTTGTTGTGGTGTGCTGTGTGATGGTGTGTGAACGAAACATACGACCAAGTACGAAACGAGTGCGGAGTTCCGATCCGTGGTTCTGCTCTCCTGCGAGGGAAGCAGCTGGAGACGAACGAAGCATGAGGACGGAGTGAATGTTGGTTCTTCTTTGTTGATAGCTTACATATTAGTGTACGGTCTGACCTCCTGGGAGCGTATGGGGGAACGTGGACTTTAAGGCAGGACCCTCTCAGGACGACACCCACCTGTGTAGGAATTTTTGGGTATTAGTTCACGGTTTGGCCTCCTGGAAGCGCATAGGGAAAACTTGGATACTGAAGTGTGACCCTCTCAGGACAATATCCCCTTTGTAGATGATGGCTGCCTGAAAGGCAGCCAATGTTTGTGACCATGTGCTTTCGCTGGATGAAGGGACAGAGAAATTGTATGGCCTCTTGGAGGTGCACTGGTCTCGCCTCTCGCCCCAGGGAGACAAGACTGGGCAAGGGAACACTGGTTTCAGTTGCAGAGTGTGGTGGATAGAATAAGAATATTGCAGAAGGAGGCTAAGGTTAAGAGGGGGAAGGGAAAGGCTATAATTTGTGCGGTGTTAGGAGCGACTTTGGCTGCCACCGTGGAGGAGAAAAAGCAGAGGTCTTGTCGGACAGATATGGTGGTGAACTCCCTGCAGGTGGTAATAAAAATCCTGCAGGAATAGTTGGAGGAGGAGAGGTGCCAAAATGCGATATTAAAAAATGAGTTCAGAAATCAACTTTTAAGGGAAGCGGACACACCGCCAGGGGTAGAAACAACCTACACGGAGAAGGGGATATGGCAGATTTACCCCCAGGGGGATTTGCAAAGAGCAAAAGAGACCACAGAGAGCCCCCCCACACACATGTACCCGCTGATCAAAACGGCGTATGTGTATGAGGATGAGGGTGACAATTGTCCCCAACTTATTACTAAAGGGGTCCCATTTACTGCAACTGAACTAGCAAAGCTGAGAAAGGACTTTGCGAGGACTACAAAGGAATCAGGAGACCGAGTACATGCAGAGAGTGTCTTTATCGGGGGGGGGATGGATGGGATCTTACTGTCAGAAAAGGAGGCGGAAGGGTATTGGAGTCCGGGTGTGTTTTTAACTACGGGCAATTGTCGAGCCCCATGGTCGTTGACCCAGAGAGCTGCGCACTGGGCCGGGGCTTGAGCCCCCTGGAAAGGGGAGACCCCTTAGCTATAATGGGCACGGTAGACCAATTAGTAGAGAGTGTGCAAAAGGTGGCGTGCCTTCAGATGATGTGTGACTGGGAGCTCAAGCCCAACCTGGGCTCCCCAATGTTAATGCCTGTAGACCTGGAGAGAATGACTGCCCTGATACGGGGACTTCCCGACTCCCTGAAACCGACTGGGATCCAATTGCAAGGGAGGATTTATAACACCCCCGGTGAAGAAAGGATTGCAGCTGCTGGGGAGGGGATAACGACCCCTGACTACCAGAGGCCAGGGAAGAAAGTATGGACATGGGGGGAGGTAGCTCAGGAGTTAATTGATTTCAGGAGGAAATACGGCCCTGTTAGTGGACCACCCCAAAGAACCAAGACCAGCGCTGGGCGAGTTAGTGGGTGGCAGTCATCCCTTGGGAGTGGCCGGGACCCGACCGGGAAAGAAAGACCCCTGAGTCGTCAGGGACTGTGGCAGGTGGGGCTCCAGAAAGGCGTTCCCCGAGATTTAATGGACGGGCTCCCAACCAAGAAATTAGAGCAGCTCATGCGGAGATGGTCAGAGCAAAGGGCCATTTTGAGGCCAACTCCTAGCACCCCACCCCTGATAAACTTTGGGGAGAAACCAGCCAGGGGAAGAAAAGGTGGTGGAAAACTAAAACCTCCGCCCCCTGAACGTGAGTGGGAGGGTGGAGGGTGGATGTTCGTAAGACAACTCACCTGCAATGCAAAGGGAGACTTGCTGCTTACGGTAGCAGTAGGACCAAAGAAAAGACCGGTAACCTTTTTAATCAACACGGGGGCGCATATTACTGCGCTGAGGTGAACAGAAGTGGAACAATGCGGAATCTCAGTTCCCTCTAGAAACCTGATTGTTTTAAACGCTCTGGGAAAGACACAGTCGGTATCTATGACCCCAGTGTCGCTGTGGTTACCAGGGAAGGACAGCCTTGTTAATACTATGATGGCCATAGGATCTTTTCAAATTAATCTCTTAGGCATAGACGTTTTAAAGGGTAGACAGTGGCGCGATGTCCAGGGAAACTCGTGGTCTTTCAGCGCCCCCCAGATCAGGCGGTTGGCCAAAGCCCCCGGTGCGGACGTGCGCCTGTTGCAAACAGCGCTTACCCGCTACTGATAGGAGCCAGGGACGGAATCGCGCCAGTTCTGGAGGACTTAGAGGGGCAGGGGATTATAGTTCTCACTCACTCCCCCTTTAACTCCCCGGTATGGCCGGTCCAAAAACCAAACGGCAAATGGAAGTTAACAATAGATTACCAGAGGCTGAATGCCAACACAGGCCCATTAACAGCCAATAGATTACCAGAGGCTGAATGCCAAACACGAGGCTGAATGCCAACACAGGCCCATTAACAGCCGCTGTACTGAACATTGCTGAGCTCATAGCTGCCATTCAAGAGCAAGCACACCCTATTATGGCAACTATTGACGTTAAAGACATATTCTTTATGGTCCCCTTGCAACCGCAGGACCAGGACCGCTTTGCCTTCACTTGGGGGGGCAACAGTACACCTTTACATGGCTCCCTCAGGGATACAAGCACTCCCCCACTTTAGCCCACCACTCTCTAGCACAGGAGCTGGAAGCAATTCTCATAAGGGCGGGCGTGAAAATTTACCATACCAATACATAGATGACATGCTCACAGGGGGGAATCAGGCAGAAGAAGTTGGGGAAGTCCAGAAGGACATCATCACCCATTTAGAGAGCATAGGATTGACAATCGCACCAGAGAAAATACAAACCCCTTCAAGCGAGAGGAAATTTTTAGGAATTTGGTGGAAGGGAGGGATAACACATATCCCACCAGACACCCTTTCCTCCCTCAACCAAATTAAGACACCAGAATCAAGAGAGACTTACAGCATGCGTTAGGGCTACTTGTGTTCTGGAGGAAGCACATCCCCGACTTCTCAATTATTGTCAGGCCCCTGTACGATCTACTATGAAAGAAGGCTCAGTGGGAGTGGACCCAGGTCCACGATGAAGCTTTGCAGCTTCTGGTATTTGAAGCAAATGCTTACCAAGCCCTTGGGCCCCTTCACCCGACGGACCCGGTACAGATTGAGTGGGGGTTTGCTGCAACCGGGCTGTTGATTCACTTGTGGCAAAGGGGGCCAGCAGGGCCCATCCAGCCCATTGGCTTTTATTCCTGGAGTTTCAAGGACACAGAAAAACCACGTGGGAGAAGGGGCTGTTTGTAGTCAGCCTGGCTTTACAAGAAGCAGAGCGCACCATTCTCCAGCAGCCAATAGTACTCAGACGTCCTTTCGAAGTGATTAAACCAGTTTTAACCGGGACACCTCCCCCTGACGGGGAGGCACAAAGAGCTTTGGTATGAAAATGGTACACACAGATAGAACATTATTGTGGTATCTTTGAAGTTTCTGAGGGCACTACCAAAAATTTAGTTATCCAAGAGGGAGTGGCCCCAGACCGGGAAGGTGACGTGCCTCCTTCTGCTGCGCAGATAACCCCCCCATTTTCAGAACAATTACAGAACGCTTGGTTCACCGACACCTCTGCTAAACGAGAGGGCAGAACTTGGAAATACCGTGCTGTCACCCTACAGATAAGGACCGACTAAAAAAATAATTACCAAAGGGGAAGGCAGCGTGCAAGTAGGGGAATTAGTGGCCGTATGGAACGTCTTTCAACATGAAGCCCAATCTGCCTCTCCAATCTTTATCTACACCAATTCCTGTGCTGTCTTTAATGGGTGTACAGAGTGGCTCCACTTTTGGGAACAAAATGGGTGGGAGGTTAACAGAATACCCATATGGCAAAAGGAAAAGTGGCACGATATTTTAACCATTGCCAAACAGGGGAACTTTGCGGTAGGGTAATGGGTGTACAGAGTGGCTCCACTTTTGGGAACAAAATGGGTGGGAGGTTAACAGAACACCTGTATGGCAAAAGGAAAAGTGGCAAGATATTTTAACCATTGCCAGACAGGGGAACTTTGCAGTAGGGTGGGTAGCCTCCCATCAGACGGAGGAAGATCTGTCTGGTCATTGGAACAACAGGGTTGACGAGCTGGCCTGCTTTGCCCCCTTGCAAAGTGATCCAGTAGTAGAGGATTGGGAATGACTCCTGGAATGGTTGCACCTTAAGAGAGGGCACACTGGAGCCCAAGACCTCTACTGAGAGGCTCAGGCCAGAGGCTGGTCAGTTACCCCAGAGAACTGCAAAACTTGCATTTTGGCTTGTGAGCAATGCCACGTCCACTTAGACAGGCACCCCCTGGAAAACGACCCCCTACATTTGAGAGAGGGAAAAGGTTTGTGGGAGGCCTAGCAGGTGGATTACATTGGTCCGTTCCGCAAATCAGAAGGGAAGTGCTATGTATTAGTGGGTGTTGAAATAGTATCTGGCCTAGGACAGGCTAAAGGCTGCACTAAGGCAACAGGGGAGAATACGGTGAAGGCCCTGAAAGAATGGTTTGGGCCCTTCCCTAAACTGCAGTCGATTCAATCTGACAATAGTATGCACTTCACAGCCAAGACGGTTCAGGAATGGGTGGCTCAGGAGGGGATTTCATGGGTATTCCATACCCCATACTACGCGCAAGCAAATGGGATCATGGAGACAACAAACAGCTTGCTGAAGTGCTTCCTGAAACCACACAAACCAGGATGGGCTGAGCGGGTGTGAGATGCAGTGACTAGCGTCAATAGCCGTTGGGGAACAAATGGATGCCCAAAGATTACAGCATTTTGCCCACAAGCCCCAACGATCATGCCCACCTCACATGGCCCTGACCACTCCGACAGCCCATCGCATTTCCCCGGACAACCCGTCTTAGTTGAACTCCCTACTGTGGGAGCAGTGTCATTAACGTTAGACGCCCCGGTGAACAAATACACGTGGAGGGCAAGAGGTGCTTGTGGAAAGATCCACAAAATTCACACTAAATGGATTGTTCCTTCCTTCTGACCCGAGAAGCGAGTTTGCTTCTACTTTTGTTTTTCAGGAGGGAGCAGCTGATCCGGACACACACCACCTGTAGAAAGCTAGACAAACACCAAATGTTATTTGTGGTTATACTAGTTTGGGAATGTACCTATAAAAGTGGCGGAGGGCTAATTCCTTCACCCTCCCCCAACCCGTTTGATCCCTTTAAGGACAATGAATTTGTATTATTAGTCAAAGCTGTAAGCTGAGCCTTTAATTTAAGTCATTGCTGGGTTTGCGGGGGACCTCTGGGGCTGCCAAGTTGGCCATGGATGTCCACACCCCTCACCCCAGCCCAAATTGTAAGTAATTATAGTGAGACCACAAATGACACTTGGGGCGATAGTGGAACATGGCTGGTTCAATTTCCTGCTGTGGGGCAATATTGTTTAAATTGTACTCAAAAGGGAGGAGTCTATGTGGGAGAAAGCAAGTGCCAATGGACACTTACGAACAAGTTGGCAAATGCAAATAGGGGTATCTCCATATGGGCGTGGCTTGATAACACTGGACGCAGTCGAGTGTTCAAAGGATACTGGGTAAATAAAAATGAAACATTAATTCTCCAACAATCCAGGGACCGTGTTTACAAGCAAATCTGCGAATGGAAAAACAACACCAGGGCCTGGTATTGCACCAGCCAAACAAATAATAACCCAACCACCTTTTTTAGCCCCTTGGGCAACGATAACACAATGTATTTCCAGTTCCCCGAGGATGCAGCAGGGCCATTTGCCAACGGGACCACAGCTGAAAGGCGTCATTATTGGATTTGTGGACATACTGCCTACAAACAACTACCAGCGCATTTGTCAGGGGTCTGTTATGTAGGAATTATCCGTCCTTTATTCTTCCTTCTTCCAGAAATGAGTGGCTCTCAATTGGGGATAAGATTGTATGATGACTTGAGAGACAGAAAGATTGCCTGCAGCAAACGAGCTGTTGAAGTTAACATAGGCGGAACACAGAAATGGGGGGAAAATGAATGGCCTCCTGAAAGAATAATTCAACACTACGGATCTGCTACCTGGAACCTCAATGAGCCAATATCAGGGGCAAGAGAAGCAATCTGTAATTTAAACAGCATAATCTGATTACAAGCAGTTTTGGAAATTATCACCAATAAAACTGCTAACGCTATAGATCTTTTACCTCAACAGTCTCAACAAATGAGCATGGCAATCCTTCAACACTGTATGGTTTTAGATTATTTATTAGCTGAAGAGGGAAATTAAATGTCTCTAACTGCTGTTTAGAAATAGACAATGTGGGCAAGGTAGTCCTCCAATTGACTAAAGACATTAGAAAACTGGCCCACATCCCCGTTCAAACCTGGAATGGCTGGACTGGCGACTTATGGTCCTGGTTACCAGGAGCACCCTGGGTAAAACAACTTATACCCTACCTACTATGTGCATTTGCTACCCTAGTGTTTTTACCATGTATTATTCCCTGTTTTATCCGACTGATCCAACATGTGGTGTCTAACATGCAACTTGTGTCCACTGTCTCACCTGACGGCATAAAACAAATTTGTGCCATCCACCAACCAAAGTTGGCGATCGTATCAATTATCTGAAACTTTTTAGAGCTGTTGGCCGCCTGCCTTGATAATGAGAAAAGACCACATGTTTGAGATTCTGCCACACCTCCTTGATATTTATTTTGTAACTGCCCCTACAAATGTCTGTCTCTTTCACCTAATTCCCCAAATCCACCTTATGAAATAAGACATTGTTAAACCCAAGAGTGTTAGAAAGAAGGATACCTGCATTGTGCGATGTTTTGTTTATTAAGCATTTCATCAATATAAAATAAGCTGTATATTTTCTGCCACATCTTGCCCTGCCT